CTCTACTGCCTGACTTATTGATTGACTTTTATCTGACGGTTGTGAAAGTTTAGTAACTTCCGCCGGGTGAAGCTGAGCTGCGCTCAGGCTCTACAGCACATTTCTCTGCTCCAGTCCACAAGGTATTATGCTTTTCTGCTGTTGTCCCTATCTCTGTCTGTCTGTCTATATAATAATGATAATAATAATTCATTACATTTATTAGAGTGCTTTTCCGAATGCTCAAAGCGCTTTAGATTACATATTACACATATCAGACATGTAACAGTGAATAATGTGGACAATACCCACAGGAGCAAATTAGGGTGACTTGTCGCAGTGGCGTGTTTCAAACTGGTGTTCCCCAGCGCCCCTTGATCTGCGGGTATGTGTGTGTGTGTGTCTGTGTGTGTGTGTTCACTCCTCTCTAGCTCTGTTGAGACTGAACAACAAACATGTGGAGAGATACAACTTTTGACAAAGATCTTACCTTCAATTGCCATAGATTGTAAATGTGTGTTACAGTTGCCACTCAGTGTTTGTAACATGAGGCAGCAACACTCTTTGTAAAGTTCTATATACACAACAATATCAAAATGCCATTTGTTAAATTTCAGTATTCAGTCATGATATTAGACTTTATTATATTCAAACAACAGCATTTATTGGCAACATCCCCTTTTAATTGGTCTTTTAATCATTAATATTCTCGTTTTTTATATTGTTTTATATATATATATATATTTGTTTGTGTTTATTAATTTAGTCTTCCCTTGTTTTACTGAGATGGTTATCTTATCTTTTTGTTATTATTTTTGTTATTGTAATTTTTTATTATCATGTCTTTTTTACCTCCTTGTGTTCCTTAAAGGTGGGGTAGGTCATTTTGGAGAAACCAGCTCGAGTGCGCTAGAATTTGAAAATACACAACCGGAAAAAATCTGCCACTTCCTTACAGAGCCCCTCCTCCAACACACACGAGCGTGCACATGACCAATGAGGGCACGAGATAAGTTTGTGCACAGATGGAAGGCTGACAGGCAGGTAGGCCATCCAGTTACTTTAGCCGGGCCGGCTCAGATGATTGGTCGTGCTTTTTAGAGTACTACGGCTTCCACAGATGAAATGTTTTTATGTATTTATTGTCAAAGCATTTAAGATATTCATTGCTATCGGGATGTTAAGAACATTCCATGGAATATAACAAAAAGTGTTTCTGAAATAAATTACATACCCCACCTTTAAGTTGTTATATTATGTTATTCATGTGAGCAAAAAGATTTAAACGTTTGAATCTAATTCGTTTTCTGTCTTAAATTGTGATGTGTGCCATGTTAAAGCACTTTGAATGGCAGAAAACACTTGTGCTTTATTAAGTTTACTATTATTTTTATTTATATTTTTTAATTATTATTATTACATACAAGCGGCCGAGATGGGTTTTCTCCGCAGGGTGGCTGGTGTCTCCCTTAGGGATAAGGTGAGAAGTTCGGTCATCAGGGAGGGACTCGGAGTTGAGCCGCTCCTCCTTCGCGTCGAAAGGAGCCAGTTGAGGTGGTTCGGGCACCTAGTTAGGATGCCACCTGGGCGCCTCCCTAGGGAGGTGTTCCAGGCACGTCCAGCTGGGAAGAGACCAAGGGGTAGACCTAGGACCAGGTGGAGGGATTATATCTCTTCGCTGGCCTGGGAGCGCCTTGGGATCCCCCAGTCAGAGCTGGTTGATGTCGCCAGGGAAAAGAAAGTTTGGGGCTCTCTGCTGGAACTGCTACCCCCGCGACCCGACCACGGATAAGCGGAAGAAGATGGATGGATGGATGGATTATTACATTTCACACTTTTTTGTAATTCTGTAAACTTTACATATAAGCATGCATGCAAAACGTCAGATCGCCCCACCCCCCATTCTATAATCCAAACCAATTTAATAGATTGATCCATTTATTTTCCTCTCAGCATGTCCCTTTATAGAAACTCTGCTGCATGCTAACATACATTGCACAGTTTTTATTTCAAATTCTCTTTTTATTTGGGCTAATCCTTTAACATTTTGCTACTGCACCGTGTACTTTGTCCTCAGAAAGAAATTGGTTTGATTTGGTCTTACTTTACTAATGCCACACACACACACACACACACACACACACACACACACACACACACACACACACACACACACACACACACACACACACACACACACACACACACACACACACACACCAAGGATCAGGTCTCTATAAATGGTCTGAACATAAAGGTCTGTGCCTCCTGTGTTCTCTGGTACTCTGCCATCACACGGATAGGCACTCTTATTTGATGTAAAATTAGAGAAAGCAATTAATTGATTGGATTGTAATCCCTCTATTGTGAGAGTAAAGCTATTTTTAGGCCTATTTGAGAATTTGACAGGGCTTTAGCCAGAGGGCTGGTGGGAGAGAAAAGGCTGCATTTTGTTTATGGAGCGCCTCCATAAAGCTGCTTGGCTGTATTTAGAGCAATGTGCTGAAGCCGTGACATGTATTAACGTCAGTGTATTTACAGTAAGCTTGTGGGCTTGTTTTTAGCCTGGATTTGTGCAATGATGTTTTTTTACAAACACATTCGCATGAAACACCAATTGGAGCCAATTTCATCAGATAAATTGTTGCCACTTTTAGTTACAAATAGAGGAAGGACAAAAGAAGCAACCATGCAGTTTAAATACCCCTGTCAAAAACGGTTTGATTTTGAAAGCTATTTTGGTGTTATTAAATAAAATAAAATAAATCTTTTCATTAGAGAAAGAATCACAGTTGTCTTTATATTTTAAAGTTAATCTGGAGTTTGTATGAGCCTTTAGCAGCCTCTCCTTATATCCTCTAAGAGTGTTTACTTGTTGAGAGATGCAAACACAAAGGGGGACTTGTGTACTAAAATGCATCGACATGAAAACATTATACTCATGAGTGGAATTTTGGGATTTATTTTAATAATATTAACAATTAATATTAGAGAGGAATTTCTCAACGTCAGGGGCCAACAGGTGCAAATGCACCGCAACGGCCCAAAACACTTCCGCCAGAGAAACGAGTCAACTGTCACTTTCACCGAAAACGTACCTAAAATGTAAGTTTTATTTTAGCAAGGTGATTACAGGTTTTCTTCCAATATCATTGCAGATCAGTCGTAAGCTAGCTAGCTAGCTAATGTAGCTAACCTAGTAATTTTATATAATGACAAAAAAGAGAAAACAAACTGCATGTAACTGTGCCAACAGCGACAGTTGGCATACTTTATAATCCCAGAACGTCAACAAGCACTCCGGTCACAGCTGTGTGCATCACTTTTTAGTGTCCCCATGTCCGTTGTCTTTTGAGCTTCTTGCAGCGTTTTTTAAATTGCAGCGTTGGTGAAAATGTTTCTTTATTTGCATGTGTTTTGGCACATTTTAGTTTTTAAAATGACATCGTGTTTCTCCTGATATAACTGTTTTGGGCCATTGCAACACATTTGCACCTGTCGGCCACCATACTTAACGGCTAAAATGGACAGGGAAAACATTGTACACATGTGAGAATGGCTTTAACACAGACTCCATTATTTTAGGTTTTGAAAAAGTTTGAAAATTAACCTTGTTCCACTCAGTGTGACACTATAATGTGCTGTATGTGCTTGTTAAAGCTATATGAACACTGAGTGAAATATTCAACCCAAGAATGTAATGTTTCATATATTTGCCCAAATCTATAAGATGGAAATATTCCGTCCCGTGAATAACTTGACGCATTAGCCCAGAAGTATTTTTCGTTAGTTTGAAAACGTTATTCAGCATTATTTGAAATCAAAGTCATGAGATTTTTGGCTGCATTGAGTATGTTTATGATAAATGGCCTGCCAGCAGATTGCTGTTTTTTAGGGGTTTAAATTGCAACAAATCATGCTTCCTAGAAAATTGCAGGGCTTAGACTTGTTTGAAATAAAACAAATTGCTACTTGAAAACGGTGGCAGAAGGAGTACCCAGATAGCTTGCTTTAGTAAATGCACCAAAACATCATAAAAATGTTGTCCATTTAAATTCCCACGAAAGTAAAATCACTATCATCAAAAATGTACTTACAAATCAAAAGTGATCAACACAATCGTCACTGTTATTGATATGTTATCAAGTAACACTGTTCGATTATTAATGATGCTTCAATGTAAACGCAGCCTTTTCATTTTTAAGTAGGTCGACGTGTAGTTAGTACTTATAGTAGTATAGTTATATAGTTACAGTAGTTCGTTTTGTGCTGCGGTTACCAACCTACAGTTAAGGTCCACTCACCAGACACATCTGAGTGTTAAATGGGTTGGAAGGAAGGGAAAACATTTCTGCAACAAAAGTGCATACTAGTTATTTTAACTTTTTCCTACGGTTTTTTTTGTGAATTATTGGAGAACTTGATCTATTTGGGCTTCAAACTGCTATTTAAGTGAAACCATGCGGGAAAGTTTGATGGGGAAAAGTCTCTCATTGAACTGCCAGCAACTCATAGACATCTGAAAAGGGAGGCTACAAACAGCCTGAAAAACAGCTTTTTAAAAAAACAAAAAAACATTTATATCCTGGTTTAGATGTGTTTTTAAAGCATCAAACACATTTCTAATCATGGTCTGTGTCAGGACATTTTGTGGAGTACAAGTTTAAAGTAACTTAAAATGGAAAAACTCAAGTAAAATGCATCTAAATGTGCACTTCAAGACAGCTATATATAAGCTCGATAGGTACTCTTCAACAATGCAGAATTAAATTACAAATAATTTGCTTTTGGAACAGTATACTTGACTTATGGTGCAGCGCTAACCCATGCAGATAATGACTTGAAGCACAGAGGTCAGCACTGATTTGCGGCCTAGCATCAGTGTGAAATTGTGCATAATAATGCAGTAAATCACATGAGGAGCGTAATGCTCCACAGATGTGTGAGAAACGGGGGAAGATCCTTGATCATCTTCTGCCCGCATTATGTCACAGCGGGTCAAAGGGGGGAGACACACTGACCTGCTCCGTGAGGCGCTTTGTACGCAGGAAGAATCCCAAAAGACACCCAATGATGACCGCCAGCACCGACATGATGAGGAGCCCATTCTGTTTGCAGACGTTCTTCACCCTCAACCACACTGCGTCCAAAGCCACGGCCATCTTGAGTCAGCTGTCCTGCGTCCTATCTGCAACCCATAAATGGACCCAACACCGAACCTAAAATCCAGGTGTGGTGATGAAAACACGAGCAAAAAAACACACTCCAGGACCGGATGGGACGGCTTCTGAAATATCCACTCCTCCGTGATGTTTTAAAGCACCTTCGGGCTCAGCATCCCTCCCGTCCTCTTGCTACAGCAATCTGCACTAAGCTAAGAAGATCCACTCACTTTCCAGGCATCCCCTCCCACCCAGCTCCACCCATCATCAGCCACCCTGTGCGAGCTGACCCACCACCAGGGGGGGGGGGGGACAGCTGGCAACTATGTCCCTGGGGGTTAACATCACCAATCCTGTTAGTGTGCTATACTGTATTAAACAGGTCTGAAGCTGGATTAAAGATGGAAGCACAATTTGACAAGGTTAGCAGAGTGGAGCCACCACACAGGCCTTCTGAACCCCACGCACTGACAACAGAACCATGTCTAAAAAACGTATTTACAGTGGTAATGAACTGCTTTTGATGCACTTACGTATTATGTAGGGATGATCTAAAGGTCCCCTATTATACTCTTTTTCAACAATATATTATAGGTCTCAGATATATACAGAACATGTCTCTGAAGTGTTTAGTTTGAAATACCAAACAGATCATGCATTGTAGCATGCCATATACCCCTTCGTTAAAGCCCTCTTTAAAAAATGCTGATTCTGTGTCTATAGCTTTAAATGCTAATGAGCTGCTACTGGCCACGCCCCTCTGTAAAGTGATTGGTTCATTATTATTGGCTAATGGATGCACAACCCAAAGTTGTCATCATCGAAACGCTACTACATGTACATTAAATAATCTCATCAGTGGAGACCTGATATAGGGGACAAAAATGTGATTGCTTGGTGTGTCCCAATAATTCATGGTCAATAGAGCAGTATCTTTGTGAATCTTAAGATAGAAAATAAGATGATGCTTCTGCATACACAAAACTCATACAAATGGGGATCAGTGAGCAAAGAAAACCAACAAAAATAGCCAAGACTAGACCAAAAATATATTTCAATTCGTAGTAGGGATTTATTAAGTTCAACCATGTTTTTTGACAAACCCACAGAGATATTTTCCCTCAGTTGTGTAATATAACTATTAATGCTTGTTTTTTTATGCACCAGGCAGTTTTATTTTTAGTAAAAATGGTCTCTGAAATACACTGTACACTTCCTGCCAAGCTCACAAAGTCATAGCTGATGAACATAGTGAAGCATTTAACAGCTAAAGAGACAGATATCTTCGTTATGGAGTGGGTGGAGACCAAACCAGAGCTTAATGTGAGTAAATATTGTAAATACATTTGTCATAATTACAAGTTATTGGTAATGTTGCTCAATGTCAGCACAATATCCAAATCAACATAATAAGGTGAAAATATGGTTAGCAAACCGTCTAAAGCTTAATTCACATGATGCTCTGTAAAGCGGCTCCGTGCTTACATTGCCGGTTTGTTTCTATGGAGACAGCTGCCCGACTAGGAGGAAACGCTAGCCTTGGCGTTGCGCACCGCTCAAACTAGTTGACTAGTGCTGCGCTCAAAGTACAAATTATCTGAACTTTCAACTAATTTACGGCTGACCTTTCGTAGGCAACCAATCAGATAACAGCTGTATGAAGCTGCGCAAGCTAACAGGGGACGTAACCGTGAAAACAAATCTTATGGCTGTATTCACCATATATGTAGAAGACAAGTTTGGAGCCTCATGCTGTGACAAGATAGCATGTTCGACACTGTTATTCACTTAGGAGAGTCAAAAATGTTAACACAACCAATTCTCCTTACAACTTTTTTCCATACAGAACATTGAATTAATAACTTTATTAATTATGTTCCGAGAGAATTGTGTTGTCTTGCGGATCATCAACGTTATTAATTGCTCAAATCCTCTTTGATACACAAACTGTATTTTTTTATAATCTAAGTATTTCTAGGACTGAGAAAATAATATTACATAGTTGTGTAACTGCCCAACATTTTTACCTCTCATGTGTGTTCTTTATCCTTTAAAAACGACATTAGTCAGTTTTTGTGTACATTTTGGTTTTGCTCAACAGCTAACTTTCAAACCTTTAAGACAAAATGTTTAATATAAAGTAAAATTCCTCTAATCGATGCACCAGAGTATGACATCCTGCCTTTAAGTCCCTACACCTCCCATAATGCAACTCAAAAGGATGTCTTTGTTTGACATTCTCTGTCTGGAAAATTCACTTATCTATTTATTTCCTCATAAATCCCAACTTTGTAAAGCCTAAGGACATCATCTGGGTCATTTACCCGAGACAGAAGATATAGAAGATAATGCAAATAAAAGATCAAAATTGTACTCCTCTCCTCTCTTATCTACCATTATTCAATCTCTTTGTCATCTTCAGTGTTTTTTACTTCTATTATACATTATTCTGGTTGAATTGATTGAATACACCTCTCCCAAGGTAGCTAACTACACAGCAAAATGTCAAATAAATGTCAGTGCTATACATTCACAGGCATTGGCTTCGACATAGTCTGCTTCTCAATGGAAGTGGATGAAAAGCAGACACTATTGTGTTCGTTGAATATTTATATTCCAAACAGAGTAAGAGGATGATGAATATGAAGCGAGGGACCATGTCTGGCTAGAAAGGCGACAAGGACAGAGCGCAGCTTTAAATATCCCGACATGCGTCAACAAGATGAAGTCTGCAAAGTTATAATAGAAAAATTGTTTAAAAAGTTCTTGATGTTTCTTTGACTGCTCACTGAACCCACTGACCTCCAGCATCTGTTACTGAATCCACTCAGAAATGTTTTGCATATTGTAACTTCCTTTCAAGTCTTTGGGTTTCTCTGGGTTCAACTGAAAACTGATTTTAATACATTCAAGCTTGAACTTCACATCACAACGACCGCGCTCCAACCTGCACCTTACACAAGTGTGATGTTGAACTGTGAAGCCTCCTCTGGGAATGGACAGAGAAAAGACTTCAGAGTACATCAAAGAACAAAAGAGCAGGGCTTAGCAAAGGGACCATTTAGCTAATGTAAGCTCAATGGGTTGGTTGATAAAAATTGGGTCTCATGCATAAATCTCGCTTAATGCACATATTTAGTCTTCCATTGTGTGTGAGAGTAATTTAAGAATGTTGCGACATTCAACTATCCTACTTTCTACTTGTCCAAAACAACCTCAACATTTTACAGTGCCCTCGACCACGCATAAACCAATATGCACAAAAGCCAAATTGCATTTTCTGATGTTAAATACCAATAATGATGATTAGAAATGCTGTTTACTCAATCAAAACACAGAAGAAAATGGTTTAACATCCAGTTATGTGATAGAGCAACTTGCAGGTGAGAGACAATTAAGAATAAAATAACAGATTTATTTTTAATACGGTAACTTTTTACTGCCTCAAAACCATCTGACTCGTTATCAATTTATCTTTAGTTTCAGTGAACGTCCATCACTAATTAATTATTTAGTTGTACACTGTAGAATATGTAAATATTGGCTGTGTTTCAGCAGAGAGTGAATTAAATCCTGACCTTGTCCAATCTCATACTATATATTAACTCAGTAATATTATTCATAGTGTTCAGGAGACTTTGCAAAACTTTGGGGAGTTTTTGAAAACTGTCAATTTGAAATTGGGAAACGACAACTATGGGTATTTTTTTCCATCTTGAACTTTTTGTTTTTTCTCACCACCATCCAAAGTTAATTTATTTTCCTTCACATAGATATTATTTTGCTGCCAGTCAGAGGGATGTGACAACATACTCCTGCTGCCAAGTGGATCCACTTTTCGAAAAGTGTACTCCATCTGCATAGCCACCTTTTGACTCTTTTTGACTCAGGAGTTGAGTCCAGGGAATTAATTCACAAGGTGAGTTGTTAAATAAAAGATTATTCTGTAATTATAAACATATATGTATTTTTGGCTGAATGAAGAAAAGGCTGAGAATACAGAGCTTGCATACAAAGAGGAACACAGCATTTTGTTCAAGGCAGATGTAATATATTTAATAATTTGTAAACTATTTTGCTCAGGCAGCTGACACTGAGGGCTACATATCAGTCCCTAATGAAATTATTTTAATTCCAATAGAGAACTGGTTTAACATATCAATAACAAGACATCAAATAATATCTAAAATAACAAAGTTCCTATTCGCTTGATAATTAGTGGACAAAAAAATATACACTTGCTTTAAAAAAACAAGTACTACTCAAAACCTCTGATGTCTTTATTACTGTAAGTCTATCTGCATCAGCCAAACGGCTCGCTGCACCCGCACTGCGAGGGGGACCCAAGTTCCCATCAGCAAAAACACGTGGGTTTGCTATCCTGGCTCCAAGATGGTGGAATGAGCTCCCCATTGAAATCAGGACAGCAGAAAGCTTACACACCTTCCGGCGCAGACTGAAAACTCATCTCTTTCGTCTCCACTTCGAGCGATAGATTTACTAACAAAGCACTTATATACTAATAAAGGGCTGGCTTATCTAAAGCCAGTTGAGTAGCACTTCAAATGTTTTGGCTCTATGAAACCTGATGTACTTTTATGATTCTGTTTTCTTCAAGTTTGTATCTTCTTGGTCGAATGCACTTCTTGGTCGGATGCACAGCTAAATGCAATGTAATTTTTTTTAATATTGATCTGTGTGATGAAGTGTCCAATTTAAGCAATACATTTGTAATTATTATAGAGGAAAATTGGCAGTAGCTTATCTGTGCTGTGTTGTATTATCTGAACCCGAAGCAATTCATTCAGACACTTTGGTTTCTTGTGCGTGAACAAAGCACTTTGTCAACAGTGCGGAAGAACTGCTTTGGAAACAGAGCAGCACTTCCTCATACAATGCCCAAAACACAAACCTGTACTGAAACAATTATTCCCAAAGTTCTAGTAGGCATCCTCAATCATTTAAAAAAGAAAAGTAATTGAAAAACTAAAAATATTATT